TTTCAATAAGTTTGATTTTAAGCTTTACTTATTTTGATAGGGTTGTAGACCTATCAAAACATTCTCCCTATGGATTTGCCTATGCCCGAGCTAAGCATGGCCATGGCTTTAGCCTCTAGGTGGCTATGGCGGAGCCTCGTTTGGGCCTTGGGCAAATAATACCTGCAAACTTTTGAACAACCATTAACCACGCTTAAGATGGAGTAGTTTCACTCGGTTAAGTCATTAAGCCTTTCTTGGAAGGAAAAAGTTCATATAGAGCCGAGGTTCTAAACAATCAAATTAGAGCCCACCTCTATACAAATCCAACCCTTTAATTAAGGATGTGTTTTGTGTAGAGTCGAGGCTCTAAACAATCAAAATAAAGCACACATTCAAATAGTGTCGATAAATGTGGTTTCAATACTAGAAATATTTGTGATAGCCTTACAATATATTTTCATCTTTAATTATAAAACTTAAAGCTTCAAAAATTAAAGAATGACTCGAGTGATCAAGCTAGAGTTTTTTTTTTTTCCTTTTTCAATTCTTTTTCTTTTTCTTCAAGGCTTATATCACTCACAAGTAGTCTTTTTATAATAAATCGACTTTAAATAAAATAAATAAATATAGGATATCAAAACTTGATGTCATTTAAAACATTTATTTCATTAACAAAGAAAAGACAACCTATGCTTATGAATAAACAACACAATAAGTAAATAAGCAAGAAGCAAAAGAGAGTATCGGATATTACTTCAACCGCGTTTCTTACACCCCACACCGAGTCACCACCTTCGATAGCACGAGATCAATGATCAACCTTCAATCTTAACTACGAAAGTAAGTTTAAGACAAACCAAACCAATGGAACATGAACCCCTTTTTCAATCACAAAACTCAACCATAGGTGAACCCCCTTTGATAACCTAGTTAAGAGGTAGCATCTCAACTACTATACGCTAACCCCTTAGCATGTATGACAAGATGGGAGAGAGAGATCCAAGAGAGGGGTGTGTCTCTACCTTGGTCAAGAGAGAGAGAATCTAAAGAGATGGGGCGTGCTCTCCTTTTTATATGGGAGAGAGAAGAGAGAGATTTTAGGTGTAAAAGATGTGGTGTGGAGAATATTGGGCTGGATCCATCTTTTTTTTTATAGTGCTTCAAGGGGTTTTTCAAAGCTTGTCATTTCATATAAGATTGAATATGCATCATTGATTTTGAGTGACTTTTAAGGTGAGAGATATGAGCCATCTATTCCATAAACAGGTCATCAATATCATATGGAATGTGCTAAAACAATTGTCCTCCACTTCCTAAACCATTTTCCCATCAATTAATTCAAGGGAAATATCTCCTTATCCCCTATTTTTAACTTTCATATCTTATGAGACCCAACAATTGAAAATATTACTTGTAAACAAAAGGTCTCCATGTTTTCTATCTTACAACCCCCTGGATCCCTTTGATCATAAATTTCTAACCTAAACAAATACTAAAATGACACCTTATTCAAACTCTATCTCTCTTTCTCTCTAAAACTCCATCTATCTCTCTTCGCTTCTCGGTGAGTTTCTCAGCCAAGGGGTTAGCTTGAGCTGGAACATGAGCACACTTTCTATGTGTGAGA